GTGCACTCAAGCTCCAGGTTAGAGTGTCGTATTGACTATCATAGTTTCACATTGCATTTCTTTGGTAGTACCAACTTAAAGAGTTCCTGTGATGCTCAGGCCAGACTTGGCAGTGAGCATTATCAGTTGTGTTGGCATGACTGCCTGAGGATCTGTGTTAGAAACAGGATTATTTCATTTTGTAAACTATAGTTTATTGTTAGTGGAGTTGAGGGTGCAGCCTGCTGCATTTGGGAGCTGGCATCTGTGGTCAGAGGTACATGCAAAGTCCTTAAGCTAGCACAGCTGCTGAAAATAATGTTATATGGAACTACTGCCTAACTTTTTTATGAGTTAAAATTACTTCTAAGAGCCCATCCTTTTTCTTTCTGTCTTTAAAGAACTAGATTTGTTCAAATCACCTTGTGTTGGATCATTTTTGTTCTTTCTGTCCCTCCATTTGCAGTCTAACATGAGTCGTGCTTCTTCACTCCCGCTGTCTTGTTAATACATGAAGTACATTTTCCACTTTCTAATTTGTACTTTTCTTGTACACCTTTCTTGTTGTCAGACGGAAACTGTTCTCACTCGGACACATTCACAAACTGCTGCTCTATCAATCGTCCTCTGGTGATGTTTGTTTTTAATGCTTTTCTTGTCAAGTAGATTAGGAGGTAGGTCATCCACAAGGCCAAATAAGCAGGTTAAAAATTAAATTAAAAAAAAAAAGCATTTGAAGGGAGAGGAAGACTATAGTTTTATCAGTGATTAATGGTTATTTCAGGGGAACGTATTTGCACTTGGCATTTCCTGTTAGCCTAAGGAAAAGGAGTGACCTAGTCATATATTAAAAAAAGATTATGCAGACCCATTCATTGTCCTGCTTTTTCTCTTATGATTGTACATTTAACTGGTATTTCAGTCCATGCTAATTCATACTTCTTACTTTGTTATAAGAATAGAAAAAGGAATGGATTTTTTAGAGCATCAGTGTGTTAATGCCTTTAATCCTTTGTTGTTTTTCCTTTCCATCTGCCAAATCATAACGGGATAAAGGCTTTTAGAGATACATTCTTTCGTGCTTTCACCACAATAGATAGCGTTAACAGGGTTGAAAGTATCTGTATTGCAAAATGCAGAGGACGTAGTGCTGTAGCACATGCTTTTCACTAACCAACTTGTTTTCACAAATTTCTGTGCTTTTCTGTTTCTGGATTCCTAAAATGAAGACACTTAGTGAAGTATCAGATGGACTTCAGTTTCTAATACTGTTTTGTGATAGATTTCTTAGATTTTCTTGAATATCTAGATATTTTTAGAGTTTCTTTTATAGATTCAGCAACACAGTGTTTCCAGAAGAGAACCTTTAAGATACGATAGTAAATAGCTCTAGGGCTTATAGGCAATCTGTATTTAAAAAACCCCACAGCCCAATGTTCATGTAGCAAATTTCAGTGTTTTAGTTTGGCAGCTAATAGTGAATGAAATAGCATTTTGTTGGTCATGTAGTGTACTGTTTGGAAATTTTTTTAGGTTCATTTAATGTTTTTTAATATCTGTTTAATAGTGTAATAAAGGCTTTTAGAAGTATAATAATTTCTTTATGGCTAACAGACTGCAAAATTTACATTAATATCAGTCATTGCACTAGCAGTCTGTCTTTGCTCAAATACTGTGGATTTCTTTAGCCATGCTGATTAGTACATTCTAGTTGCAATGGCTGTTCTCTCTTCCAGTCATGGATGCTTTTATTTCCAGCTCATCAGAGTCCCATGAAAAACATTTGCCAAAATGTTGGTATTTGCTTAAGCTACGTGATTCTTTCCTTACTTGTGTGTGTGTGTGTATGCAAGGCAATTTTTAGAATTGATCTGCAGAAGGAGGTCTGCCTTCATACTCTGAATGTCTGGAATAGAGTCAAAAAAAAGATGAAAAGGGAGACTTCTCAGCACCATTACCAGGAAATTAAATACTTCGTGAACTGCAGTCTTTTTTTTAGCAATGTCTTAATTTCCTAGATTATTAATTTGATTCTTCAGAGCAAGGAAGAGATTTTTGTCAGTTGAAAACGTTTTCCTAATTGCAATTGTTACTCAAATGGGTTGGGGAAATGGTTAGCTCAGTGAATTTTTATGTTTTGTAATTGTTTCTTAAGCACTGTTTTATTCTCAGGGTCTTTTTTTTCCTGCTCTTATCTTTACCATTCCATCCAGGGCTCAGTAGTGAGTTTTGTATAAGAATGTCAAAAACCCTAAACAAAAATTTTGATTGGATACTAATTTACTGTTCTCTTTTCTACTACCACACAATTTGCAAGTGTTTTTTGTCCACTCTCCCTCTTTCTCTTTGTTATGTTTCTGACCACAAATAGGTAAGCAGCATTTACTTCTAAAATGGGGCATCTGGAGATCTAGAATCTGGTTCTCAGTGGAATCTAATGAAATTTGTCTTCTGGCAGTTTGTTCCTCTTCCTTCAATTTGTAATACTACTGTTTCAAAAATTTTTTGAGTGTATGTTCTCTAGTTGTATGTGTTAATATCCCAGAATTATATACGGCAATCTCCGCTATTTGAACATATACTGGACAGTTTATATTCTTTTGGGGCTGAATTAGAAAGAAAAGTGAACATGTATTCGTTATTCAAAATAGATATGACTGCTATTGATAGTTTTTTTCCTTTATTTCCTTTCACCAGTTTTCTTTTATGAAACATGAAGTCCTCCGAGGGATGCATCTTGTTTTGAGAAATACATGAAAGACCATTAAGCAGAATCTATACTGTAACTATTTCATTAGTTTCAAAATACCCATTGTACTTGCACTAATGATGTAATTAATTTCACTAGCCTTAGAATTTACTGAGCTGTTTGTAGTCTGATAGTTTTTTCACTAATTCACAGATTAAAAATTTAAAAATTGCAAAACTGGTGTGGTCATACTTGACTAGTGGTGAAACCTAGCAGTTGCACACATATATTCATGCTGCTTTAACAGGAACATACTCATATAGGAGGAGCCATGTCAGTGTTTTGATGTTATGCAGTAATAGTAATGGATACTGCTGAATTTAGTCAGGGGTTAATGTGGAGTTCACTGTTTGACATAGATTACTGCATTAAGTATAAGCTTTTTGTTTAGACAGGAAAGACTGCTGTGACTGTAAGGTATGAGCCAAGTGTGAACCACTTTAATGGTACCTGCCTGCATGAACAGACGATTTTAAGTGGCTCAGAAAGACAGGGACTGTCCTCATTCTAGTGGGTGCTATCTGTGAACATTTACAGAGAGCAACTTTCCTGTCTTCACATTGATTATTTTAGCAAAAGCCATCTTAGCTTGTTTATACTGCACTTTTAAATGCTCTCTTAAAAACCTTAAAAGCTAATCTCCAGTTGCCAGATTTCCAGTTTTCCTTGGCAGAACCTGCCCAATTTTCTTTTCAGCCGATAAAAAAAAACCCCTTAGTAAATTGAAAATTGTGAGGGAAGGAGATTTCATATAAAAATGGATCACTTTTAATACTGAATGAAGAAGCTAGAGTCTCAGCCTGTTGCAGTGATGAACCCTGCTACATATTTTGGATCCAGATTCCTGTGTGCTGTGTTACATCTTGACATTTCTACGAGCTTGTAAACAGAGTCTGTTGTGAATACTGGTGACAGTCAGAGCCCTGTTGCTAGAGAATAGTTTTGACTCTGTGGGAATAAGCAAACAGGCAGACATCTACTGTTGGTACCTGTCTTTTATTGCAGTAAGGAGGCTGTATAATATTCTCGATGCTCTTCTCTACTTTGTATGAGTGGTTGTTAGCATGAGATTATAAGAATGTGAAATTTATGATTGTTCTTTTGATTAATGTGATGTAGATAGACTTTCAAACAAGTGATCAAAGGGACACCAAAATATTTCAGAATTGAGAGCACAGCAATGTGCCCAAAGGAAGAAACAAATACAAATATAAAATTTAATAAATATTACAAAGCTGCCAATAAGCAATTATAAAAGTACTAATAAATATATTTTTAAGCTTAGTGTGATGAAGAAAGATGCTGAAATGAAATAGAAGAAAATTTACTCAATTAAACTCCTTTATTTTCTAAAACGAAAAAGCATCAGAAGACAGGGAGGAATTTTCCCCACATTGAATGTTACAGTGAAAGGAATCCAAAATTTCAGGCACATAATCACAAGTTTTCATAATGTAGTGAGTTTATGTACATCTGCTTAGCACCAGTCACTGACTGTGTGCCTACTCTTAGGTTTAAGCTTACACTTTGCCATTTGGCGTAAACTAGATATGTACATGCTGAATTGTTGTACCTTAACTGATGTCTGGTGACTTTTTAAGGAGAAAGAGTATGATTATGGGGAAAAGAGAAAGCCATTAGATTTAACTATTGCAGCACCAATTCTAGTCATGGAACATCCGAGTGAGGTAGTTTCTTTCCTCAGAACAGAAGTTCCTGCATTTTGTACTGTGTGATTTAAAAAGTTGGACTTCATAGTAGCAAGCATTTAAAAAAAAAAAAAAAAAAGAGTAGTGAAAGTAAGATTTTTGAGTGTGGAGAAAGATTCTAGAGATGATTTGTAGGGTGGTAATTTCCTATAGAAAGAACAAATATTTTGTCATTGTGAATATTTCCCAGCTAAGACAGTAAAGAGTTAGGATTGTCTTGCTTTTAATTAAGCTCTGTCTACTAATACTGACATGTAGCATGTGTACACTTTAGCAACCTAACTGATGACTCATGTTTATACACTAACTTAATGCTGAATATTTATGGTAATTGATTTGAGACTAGAAAAGTCATAACTTTAATATTTTTAATACATGATTTTACAGGGGCATTGCAAGTGACCAACTTCGGTTGAAATTGTGGTCCTATTACAGGTTTGCAAATCCACCTCCTTGGAATTCCGTACCTACTGATGCTTAAAATTCAGATGCTGTCACTATGATCAGCAATGTACTGAAATTAAAGAAGTAAAATAATAATATATATTTTCTGTTTTGTTTAGGGTGCAAAATTTGGACATCCAGTGGGATTAAATCAGGCTCCTCCCCCGCGTTCTTCTGTGCGAAGATCATTTGGAAGATCTAAGCGATTTAGTATTACTCGTTCTCTGGATGACCTTGAGGTAATTAACTTTCACTTTAAACTTAGAAGCAAGTCCTAGAGAGGAACTTACAGTAGTTAATGCTGATCATTAATGAAAGAAAGAAAGTAATATCTATAGTGTAATAAAGTTGCTAATCTTCATATGACTTTTATGTGAGGGGAATACAGATTTCACGTATCACCTGACTTTTTCAGTGTTTCTTTAATAGTTTACATTGATGCCAGCACTGGCCATTCTTTCTGTGGGGAATTTTGACTTTATTTTACCCATCACAGCTGGTCATGTAAAGCAAAACAATACAGTTTTGCTGATCAAAATGTTCATCATATCTTAGAAATCATTGTATCATCATATCGTATAAAAAATCAAATGCTCATATTCTTTTTTTATTCAGCTGATGATCATTGCATTGAGAAAATTTTGGGGGGTTAAATTTGTTGCTGGACCAGGCTCTTTGCATAACTTCCTAAGGAATGTAGCTTATTGAGTATGGAAAAGTTTTAAAAAATACTTAAATAGGTTTTTCCTCCTTATATGTCAGCAGTTGAGAAAACGGAATTCCTAATCAGCTTGGTGTTGGTCATCGGCTATGGTGATTTTGGGTCTTTCTGAGTATAATATAATAACGCTATTTCACATCTGGTATAACATCAGCTGATGCCTGGGCCTCAGTGGCCAAACCTTATTAATTTTGGTGAAAACAAGGAATGAAAAGCCATCTGAATTTAAAAAGCTGCTCCTTCTGCTCTGCTGAGAGCCTCCCTCAACCAGCTGTAGGAATATGGCTTCATTACATCTTCTCTTCTAGTGTGCTTCCTTGGGAAAACCTGACCCATAGTGATGTGAACGTGAATGGGAAGATTTTTCCCTTGCCCCTTTATCATGCTTATCTGGAAGAAGGATTGTGGTTAGAGAGAAACAAAAATATGTGCAGAGATCTTGGCATAGGAACCATGTGATACATATTATACTGCTCTTCAGCATGGGAGGGAATGTGGCACACTGATTCCTCTAAATGGGAAGGAGGTGTTTAAAAAGCGTTTGAGATGGGAGGAGGAAAGAAGGAGATATTCCGAGTTTCCAGCCATGGGAAAATGTAGGAAGAACGGAATTTCACTGACTCTGAACTAAAGGAGAGGGGAGCTCAGTGCACCGGATTTTTAGGGAATAGAATATATGGAAGGAGCTTCTGGCGTGCTTAGGGAATGCAGGTAGGAACTGTAATTACTTATTTCTAAGATGTTTTAAAGGACATTTTTCATGGTGGTCTATTTCTATCTTGTTGTCTGAAGCTTTTAAGTGTCTTGCTTTTTTTTTCTAGCCATGGAAAATACTTTTTCATTTCTTTGCACTCATAACTTTTAATACAGTAAGTGCATAACTTTAACAAACAGAGCAAGATCCTCTGGATAAAGCTGTTTGGGAACCATCTAGCTACATCTTTCTTCATCAGAAAATGGTGATTCTTCTAAATTAAAAAAGCTTGCTACTATATATTACCAGTCTTGACAGAATTTCTGGTCACAGTAAGAGAGAATCCTCTCAGAATATCTAAGAGCCTAGTGCTAGTAATTCACGTGCAATAGGAAGAACATGGTTCACACCATGTTCTTCCAGATTGAAATTTCATAGAGATTTATGTGCACATCTCATATTTTGAGAGAGTGTTTTAAACACCAAGGATATAATTTAATTTCTGTTGTTGGAGCTGTTTTACATTGCATAAATATTCATTAAAATAGAGACTTGGTACTTTCTGTTAATTTCAGAAAGATGTCATAGTTACTGGCCTAAAAAGTCAATTTTTCTCTCATTATGTCTTAGTTGGTATTCGTTAGTGTATATAAATTGAGTAGCACCAACAGGAGGGATTGAGAGGCTCTCCGTGTTACCCAGTGTCCTAATTGTTAAAGCTGTTACTTTGGATGGGGAAACTCACATTCTAGGTCGTGGTATGAACTGGACAAAGAGACAATCTGTATTACAGTCTGTATTGGATGAATGCCCCTACTACATGTAGCTATTTGGGTGTGGACTGCTCTCTGTCAATTGCTTCTTTTCACTTTGAAGTCTCTTTTTTTCCCTCTGCATGCCATAACAGAATGATATCCTAGCCACCAGGAGAAATACTAACCCAGAGAAGAATTTCAAAAACTTCCTAAGTCAAAGTAAAATAGGGTTGAGGTGTTTTGATTTCGGTTCTAACTGTAACGTTGCTGCTGCAGCACTTTTCCCAAGTACTGTTACACTAGGTGTAGTAGAACACAATGTTTTTAGTACATGTTTAGATTATTTCAGGCCATCTATTTAGAGTTGCTGGAAGAGGAAATAACAATACCAGGAAATTCTTAGAGACTCCACCTTTGGAATAATGATCATGAACATATTATATAGGCTATTCAGTTGCTTTTGTGTTCTTTCTAGTTATCTTAGCAGAATGGATAAGGTACTAACCCAAACATGAAGTTTGAAAATGAATATGCTTCTCTGAGCTTGTGAGTTTGATTCCTGC